TGCAGTTGCATCCTACCAGAACATATGTACATACAGGTTATCACAGACCTGATGCATGTCCAAGGCAAGAGCTGGGCTACGGTATCCTACACTGTGGAGGACCAAATGCAATGAATCCTGATAAGAGCAGTGTGGGGAAAGCTGAGCACCCACCTGGCATGGTCCCACCACAGGCACAGCGAGCAGACTTCTGCCCTCCACTGGAGCAGAATGTGCAGCAGTGAAACACACCTTGGTGCTCACGGAACTTGCTCTTCACCATCACAGTGAATGGAGAGCCCTGTGGAGGACAAGCAAGCAGAAAGGCTGCTGCAGTGGATGCTGTCAGATGGTGTGTCTGGTAGAGGTAATCCTCAGAAAGACTGAAAACAAATACTTAAAAAAGAAAAGCAGAAAAAGCAGCAGCAGTGCAAGTGAAATAAGAAATGCTACCTGTACATGTTGCCCTTTCACACAGACACAGACGGCGTACACGCCTGGCTCCTCAGGGCTGTAGGAAATATGGTAGGTCCCATCACCATTATCACACACGGTTGGCTTGACTGTACTATGAACAGAGAAGTCCAAGTGGTCAGTGACTGGCAGAAAATTGCTCTCCATGTGAACCACTGTTTGGCCTAGATGTGTGGTCAGCTCTTTAACCTCGGCCTTGTTCAATAGCTGTGGGTCTCAAGCAAGCCTAACAGGATGCATAAGCAATGCTCAAGCACAGAGTTGCTTATACAAACACCAGCTACTAGGAGCTGCAATAACCATGCAGAGGAAGCTACACAAAGCTAGCTGCACAGCAAGGATCTGTAGCAACCCTGAGTGCTGAGAAGAGCAGACAAGAGACATTTGCAGGTCAGATAATCCTGTCAGATAAGAGCCCTCAGAAATGGGGTGAATTCACAGCCTCAGAGAGCAGGTACCTCCAAAAGACCACATGAAGTAGACAGGACGTAAACAGGGCACGTTTAAATCACTTCAACCACCGTCCCAGCCACATTGACCTTAACTCTTCAGCGCTCTGAGGAGTTCTAGGTCCCTGCTGGCAAACTCTCCCTTTCCAAAGTGAAGCTCACTGGGTTTTACAAGATAGTGTTTCACACTCTGGTGGAGAGGATGCCAGGGAGAAAGCACCAGCTAGTTATTCAGAGACAGGTTGACTGCTTCACAGAGAGATGGAAGCAGCTTTCCACAGACAACTACCAGGCAGCTTTGCATAGAGGAAGGTGTTCTTCATAATCCCCACTAACTAGTCTTTTGTGCTTTATGACAGTTCATAACCTCGCAGATGTGCAGGCTGTATTCCCCATGCCCCACCATTTCACATCAATACAGCTGCCTACATCATATCCTGCCATGAAATGTGTGGTCATACTTCATACTCTTCTGTTGCTGCTGTGCCTCAACCCAAACCCACACAGCTTCCAGCAACAAATGGAGCAACTGCATGCACGCAAGAACGAGGTACTGAGTTAATGCAGCCACAGCGACGCCTAACCCATCAGGCACAATCCTGATGTTCACACCCTCTTACCTTGTATGAGCACCTCGACACACTGGAGGGAAGAGACGGGATCCAAAGAGACTTTGACATGCTTGAGAGGTGCCAGGGCAAACCTCATCAAGTTCAACAAAGCCAAGTGCAAGGTCCTGCCCCTGGGTTGGGGCAATCCCAGGCACAAATACAGGCTGGGTGGAGAATGGATTGAGAGCAGCCCTGAGGAGAAGGACTTGGGGGTGTTGGTTGAAGAGAACTTGAACATGACCCACTTCAGTGTGTGCTTGAGCCCAGAAATCACCCGTGTGCTGGGCTTCATCAAAAGGAGTGTGAGCAGCAGGTTGAGGAGGGGATTCTCCCCCTCTACTCTGCTCTCATGAGACCCCCCCCCGCAGTCCTGCGTTCAACTCTGGGGACCCCAACACCAGAGAGACATGGAGTTGACAGAGCGAGTCCATGTTGGTTCTATTGTTGGTGGTTCTGCATCTGTTCCTGTCTGCTCTGTAGTAACAAGTGCAGCCTGGAAGCAGTTACAAATCATTTGTTCTGGTTGCTAGTTTTCCCCGTGGAAACACTAAAGAGCTCAAGTGCAGTCCTCCCTGCCTTTGCTAGAAAACCTTCAAACATGTTAAAATGCCCAATGCTTGCAATGACAGGAGAAAGTACAATAAAGTCCCAACACAGATTCTTTCTCCAGGACATGAACTAAGCATTTCCATCACTTGTCAGATGCTCCTGGCCTTGGTGAACTGCCTGACTTGGGACAGTCATTCTGGGGTTGTGATGTTTTATGTTCAGGAGCCCTGGATGTCTGCTGCTAGGGGCAGGAAGGAGCAACAGCTCACTCTGACAATGTCTAACACCCACTGAGAGTTGATTCAAATCACTCAAAGACTCAATACAAACCTAAGCCAACACTGTCAAGCTCCACACAGTAAAATACAACCAGTAAGAAATACAACTACACCAGTGGGAAGAAGAGTAGTGCCCTTTCCTACAGATTCTGACCCACATGCTGAAGTGCATTCTCCCACCTGCCTAAGCACAGAGGGAGCTGGGATAAGGGAGGCAGAAAGACAAAGCCAGTGACCAGGGAGTTCTCAGGTAAAATACCCACCACTCTCTCTTGTCCCTGTGGGTGATGGTGACCCGCACAGCCTCTCCTCCTCGGCCCATCCGCTCCCCCATGGTGTCATTGCACAGCAGGGTAAAGCCAGTCAGCTGGTTCTGATGGGCACTGTGGAGATCTGCAAGGCAGAGGAACAGGAGCAGAAAGGATTCACTCCAGCCGTAACTGCCACCTCCCACCTATTTCGCAGTGCCGTGGTCCCATCAGAGCACTGTCAGGACGTTGCTGCTGGGGTGCACAGCTCTTTCCACTCAAAGGGAAAATTAAATATATGAGTGGGGATCAGGAGAGTTGACAGCCATAGGTGCGAAGAGACGTTGAGCAGGCTTAGCCAAGGTCTGTATGGTCCTGGGTGGTCTTCCTGCCCCCTCTGAGCCCAGCTGGCATCTTCCCAGAAGGCCTTAAGGTGCACCATGCAACCAGGAGGGAGAAGCAACAGCCCCACTGTGCAGCGTGGAGCCCCAGAGACCTCAGAACTTACAGTTTGGTATGTAAGGGATCAAACAAGCCCTGGGTCTGTCTCACTTGCATGGCACAGGCCATTAGTGACCAGCGATGGCTGTGCTCTGTGGGCTGGTCTGAACGTTACCTGTTTGCTGGCACTGCCCCAGGTCCTTAATAAGCAAATACCCATGAAACCATCAATGCCAGTTATTCCCATGGCAATTTCAGCAGAAGCTGTAAGGGAAATGGAACTATTTCCTCAGCCACAGAGGGGATCTGCAGGGCCCATGCTGCAGAATAGGAGACAAGAACTGACATTGCAAGCACCACTCCCACCCCGAGTAAGCTGTGGTCTTTGCCCTAAGTGTTGCTCTCCTCACACCTCAGCCCCATGCTGAGGTCAGTGATGCTGTGGAGGGCAGCTCCAATATGGTCTGTACATCTGGATGGGGATAGCCCTCTGGCTCCCTGCCCCACATGGCTTCCATAGGCCCTCAGCAAGCAAAGCAAACTCTGGCAGAGCTCTGCCCCTAGGCAATGCCTGGACAGCAGGGAACCCACAGTGCCTAAGCTGCACACCATGTAGGTGCAGAGAACGGGAGAGGTGACTTCAGGGAGTGGTGCATTCCCATTCGGCTGTTGTATAGCTCCCCATTACCTTCCCCATGCAGGGTACATCTGGCTGGATCAACCGCTTTATTGAGAATGGCCCCAAAAACTTCATAGCCGCAACACTGCCCTGCCTTCTCCTGGGGAGAGAACTGGATCCCATCGTCCATGCTGGGGTGGGTGTTGTAAGCGACGCTGTTCAGCTTTGCCAGCCGGCTCGCCACCACTCCTTTGGTGATGAGAATCTCCAGGTCCGAGCCGCTCGCCAGCAAGTGCTCTGTGAACCCTACGCCTGTCCTCATGTCCAGCAGCAGCTGCTGCAGCTGCGCCTTCTGCAAGTGCAGCAGGTTTACCTTCTGCACCTTCAAGTCCTCCAGCTGCTTCAGCAGCCGGTCCCGGTGCTCTTCAATGGCTTTCACATAGCCACTGGCAAACAGACAGATCTCTGTGGCCACAGCTTCCGCGCGACTGCGCACAGCACTGCCCATGGCATCAATCTGGCTCAGCGCGCTCTCCAGGGTGCCCATGTGCTGCTGGGTGCTCTTCAGCAGCTCCCGTAGGGCATCCCCATGCTTGTGGATGACATTGCCAGTGAAGTCACAGGGGTGCTGCCGGTGTCTGCCTACAACGCAGTGCTGGCACACTGGCTGGTCGCACTGCTCGCAGAACAGCCTCAGCTCCTCTGTGGGATGGGAAGGGCAGAAGAGAAGCTTCCCAGCCTGGCTGCAATCTTTGCTGTTCTCCAGCTCCGTCACGGTGTGAGAGGCTGTCTTCTTCTGTCTCCTAGAAGAGAGCAACCACATGTCACTTTATGCATGTTGGATATGAAACGCAAACCTCAGTGTGAGCTGCTCCCTCCTGTCTACACTGAAATCCACTCTGCATGAAGGGAGGGACTTCTTGTCCCCTGAGGACAAGGCTCCACACAGAAGAGGATAGCATCTGCAAGCAGCTCATTAGAGGTTGCTCTCAGGCTCCCTGCACGCAGTCAGCACTGTTTTCAGACACAAGAGCTGCATGTCCCACCATGGCCACACACAGAGCAGGGAATGGGCTGTCAGGCTGCTCTACCAGCAGCCCCTTCATGAAGCCTGACAGAAGTGGGATAGTTGCAGTTACCCCCAGAGCCCGCTGTGACAGCAGGAGGGTGCTGAGCCCTGCAAAGTGAGAGCTCGCAGGACGTCTCTCAGCACAGAATTGGTCACTGACAGTCATTTCTGGAGAGGAACAGGAGGTGTCAGGCTCTTCAGCCTTTAGGCCAGTGATTTTCACCAGCTTTGAATTTGCTGAGGCAAATGAGCTCTAACATCCCTCAGGGAAAAATCCACTCCAGGTCACTGCCAGAACAGAGTCTGTGGTAAATCATTTAACATGTCCAAAGCCAAACTCCATTTCCTTCTGGCTGCCAGTTTAGTTCCTGCTCAGAGGCCAAGGATGGGACACAAAGAACCTGTTATGACCCAGACATCCACCTTGTCACAGAGCAGCACTAGAATGTTTATGCTTTATGCTACTTTGGACACAGGGAACTAGTTACTGAGGAGGATGTAAACACCTTCTCTCCTTCCTTGTCTCCTGCGCTAGTGACTTCTGGAGCTCCAAGCCATAAGCAAAGAAGTACTCTGAGGACCAAGCTCTATAGAGTTGCTCTGGCAACACAAAGCAACCTCATCACAGGGCAGGACACGGCCTTTTTGCTACTCCTTTCACTTCCCACTCATTTCCCTTGGGCCCAGCACTTTTTCAAAGCCTTCTAGCGATATCTGCATAACACCCTTCACATTCTCATTTCCCTGACTCCAGCCTAAGACCCCTCTCGCTTATTTCCAAGGAGCACAACAGTGGCACTCAGATATCTTCCCTAAAAAATGGTTTTTCTTGGCCCATGTTCTGCTCTACCATCAACTGAATCAGGTGTAAGCCTGCAGATGCTAGCAGGGTGAAAATGGTAGCAGTAAATAATGTCAGAAGCGGGTCCCGGGACAATTCTGCTGCTGCTTTACACCTCCTGCAGTTATTTCTGTCCAGGCAGCAGCCTGCTGCTATTCAAGGTCTCAGTCTATCACTCGTCAGCAGCTTGCTGGGGTATGAGGCATTATCTAACCAGAATGGTATGCTGAAAATTACAGCCCGGGGTGGAAAGGTGACTAAGAATCTCAGCATTTCATCAAGGCACCATGTCTGCAGGGAGGGCAGGGCAGCGAGGATTATATCCCAGTCCTTTCTGGGGAAAGGATTTGCTAATTAAGTGGAAAGGACCAGCAGACGTGGAGGGAATGGGCTGAGCTGATTAACCCAGGCTGAGGCTTCCCTGGCTAGTGCTGTGGGGTGCTTTGTCTGACCCTGTCACCTCCTTGCTTCAGGCCATTCAGACTTGCTAACACTTTTCTTCCTTAGTGCTGCCTCTCCTCTGCCGTGCTCACAGGCCACTGTGGCCGCCTCCTCTTCAAGTCCTACCCCTGTTGCAGTCACCTCTGCTTCCTGCCTTACTGATGTGTCTCCCTCTACACAGCTTTCTTCTGCTGCCACTTCTTCAGTTTTCCCATATTCCAACAGAACTAAACCCTCCAACAGAACTAAACCCTCCAACATCAGGCACACTGTGAAGCAATACTGCTGCAGCTCCTGGCCCCACGGAAGTGCTGAACCACAGACTCATAGAATCATTCAGGTTGGAAGGGACCTCTGGCAGGTTCAACCCCCTGACAAGGCAGGGCCACCCAGAGCAGCTCACACAGGAACATATTTATGATGGGGTTGCAATGTCTCCAGAGAGAGAGACTCCACAACCCCCCCTGGGCAGCCTGTGCCAGAGCTCTGCCACCCTCAACATAAAGAAGTTCCTCCTCATGCCAGACTCTCTTCAGCGGTGCCCAGTGACAGGACGAGGAGCAATGGCCATACACTAAAACACAACAAGCTCCACCTCAGCATGAGGGCACCGCTGAAAAGAGCCTGGCACCATCCTGCTGGCACTTGCCTTGAAGATGGACACAAGACACGTGGACACACCAGTTTACAGGCAAGCACATGGGTTGATCATCGAGAGGTAACTACCACAGTAGGCAGGCTAGTGCCAGGACTTCCAGCTATCTCCTTTCACTTCTCCTAAGGGTGCATTTGAACATACATACTGTAAACGTTTCTGCAGGTGGAGAGAGGCAGACCAGCAGCTGAACCTCCCCGTTTTCCTTTGGGAGATGTGCCTTCTCCAAAGCAGGTCAGCACAGCATGCAAGGCCTACTCTGCCTACACCCATACCTGTGGGAGCACTGTCAGTTTCCCCACCCAGTGATGCTCGTGGACACCTCCACATGCAAAGGGTGGCCTGATTTTGGACTTAATGGCTTCACCTGAGCAGGGCTGACCAACCCACTGCTTAGCAGCATGCCTGTCCCCATCTGAACACAGAGAGCATCCTCCGGGAAGGACAAATCCCCGCTGGGGACTGAACAAACAGCACGACACGGGGGTTTGACCGCTCTGGCTGCTTGGTCCCCGCC